TGGACACCTACTCTGCAGACCCCGGGTTGCATCTCATGGCCGGGGAAGCGGAACTCAGAGGAAGCTACTAATCTCTGAGTATCATGGTTTCGACGTCTGGTAACCTCACCACTCTGACCGCAACCGTCCAGACCGCTGGGAGCAACTCATACCAGGGTATTGTAAGCCTGCATACTGGTGTCTGATGAGTTTATTCAATAAACAACTATCTAGTTAGAACAAACAACTAATTCTTTTACACCCAGATTTCACATTTTCTCTCAGATACAAAGAACGGTTGCTACAACATCCAGCTTCCATCACAACACCTCACATCCACCACACCACATTATTCATATCTTGTCATATATCATTAGTTTAGGAAAAAATATTAAATAAATTTTACAAACTATACACTGACTCTGTCTGAATTAATACGAAGTGTGTTTATGGTTCCTGAATAAGCAAAGAACCCTAGAATCTTCTGATTAAACATTCAAAGATCATTCAGATTGGTGTTTCATATTTGTATGGAATATCACATCTTATTGGTCATAATTAATATGTATTAATTGCTACAGACAATAAGTATAAATTTTGTTATGTTTTTGTAGGAAGAGTGTACTTCCCTTATATTCTGCCATTCCTGTAGCTCTTTTTTAGTTATGCCTTCTGTTTGTTGAAATGAAACCGCTAAGGAAAAGTGAATGTCACTCAATCCTACAAGAAACTAGACTAAAGAATAAATAAAAATGCTGAAAGAAACTTAAACGTCTGAGCAAGACTTTGGCCTTTAAATGTATTATTGATAGATGGCCTGTATTTATATAGCTCCCCAAGGTGCTTTACAACACAATAATCATTCACACACCAGTGGTGATGTGGTTCACTGCAGTCACACCTGCCCTGGAGCACACCGTCAGAAGGCTGCACCACCAGGACACAACGCCTACGACCACCAGAGCAGGACACAAACCAGCAACCGGTTGGTTACGGGGAGGAATTCTACTCTTCTGCTAGTTAATATATGTTAAAGGTCAACTTTACTCATATTTTTAAAACATTTTCAGTGGTCTCTAGTAAGAATGAATGCCTGGTAAGTCCTTCTCTGGGGGGAAAAAAGCTCTGGTGGCTCTGGTGTCCTGTTTGAGGACATAGAAGTCAGCTGGAGGCTGGATTTGGAGTCTTATATCCTGATATTTGGACATCTTGCCTGTGATTGGCTAACTGCAATGCAACGCTGGAAATGACTCAGTTTGCTCTGGACGCTTAACCAACATCTTTCCCTGTCACAAGTGAAAATGGGTGTGTCCATGAATGTCAAGCGACGGTTTGATGTAGGTCAGGCTTTTCTGACCCGAGTATTTTTCTGTTTATCAGAAGCTAATGCAGAAAGTAGGGGTAGGCGTCTATTTTCACATTCAGCCTGCATGACAAACTCAGACTGACTCATGTTTCAGCAAACACACATCACAATTTCAAAAAGGGAAGTCTTATTTGTAAACGTGTAAAAGGTGGAGGAGATTTTGACAGATGTTCTTCGCGCTGTCTTAAATGACCATAAAAATATCAGCTCAAAGCTAATACTGTAAATACGTGTTCTCTAGTGAGTTGTGATGGGACACAATAAGATTTAAGGCAGCTTGGCTTAAAGAGATCCAGACCATTAAAGAGCAGCAGAGCATACCTGAACTCACTGGCTGTCTATCTTAGTCAGAGGAGAGTGGATCCATATGTTCTCCTGCTCCTTTCATGCTCTTTCCCTTTTTTTATGTCTTTTCTCTACACCCTCACTAGCCCAGTGTATCCGAGTGGCACCACTAAGAGAAATATAAAGCTGTCAGGTCTTTTACCTCCAGCTCTTAAACATGAAGGTGCTAAATACAGCGAGCAATGCAAAACACGCTCCTCCTCTGCTCCTCCAAAGCGGCGTCTGTTTATCCTGGCAGACGTTTGTTCCCGTATGCGCCGACATTACTCCTGCTCAGAACCGCCGTTCTCTTGGCACGGTGCTACACAGCCAGAGTAAACATATGACCTCAGCGCTTTGTGGCACTGAACCGGCCCGGTAGCCAGAATAGGCAGCGCCACTGGAACATAAATACACACATAGACACACAAATAAAATGCTAGCAAAGTGAGTTTTTGATGTTAATTAGGTAAAGAAAAAAAATCCTGAAAACAAAAAATTTCTTGTACAATCCAATATGATATCTGATGTCTGACACTTTTTACCCTGTTTGTGTTTAAACCTGGATAAAACAGATTAAGTTGGATTACAGTGCCAATAGTCTTAAATGAGTGAGTATTTAATGGTTTGCCTTACTGAATAAATGTGACCCTGGCAATGCCCCTAGGTTGCCACTTGACACTGAGCTACCTGCAGAAGGGGAAAACACAATAATTAATAAAATTAGATTTGAATATCTTAATTTTATTTACTTTTATTTACTTTGATAATAGGTAAGACCTATTTTGTGGTCATTTTACTCACTACCTCAACTCAATCCACTACTCTGGCCCAAAGAAATATAACTAAAGATTTTAGTGTTGTTCTAAAGAATTAATTCATTCTACTTTCAAAGTTGGATGATGAGCTGGGTTTGGGAGCTCAGAGAAAGTATAAGTCTTTATTTTTAGAAACAGAGTTGAAACCTCCCAACTTCTGCCCTTCTCTCTTACCCTCTTTGCTAACGCCGAGGCAGCCCTTCAGCTCCTGCAGGGAAATTGCCCTGTCCTTATTCAGGTCACAGTAGTCGGTAAACTTGCGGGCACATTTCTTAGGTTTGGCTTTCTTCTTCAGGTACCTCTTGAAAGGTTTTAATTCTTTCTTGTTGATGTCGTGGCTGCTGTTGTTGTCCAGCTGGGCAAAGTACCAGTGCACCACTCGTTCCTCCAGAGTGTGACTGGGGTCAGGTTCAACAAACCTGGGAAGATACGTCAATACATCAGTTAGTGTTTCTGTGAAAAAAGGCTAACTACCATCTTTACCAATAGATAGCTTCCTGAAGGGCCTCAATGTGGAAAAATAGAGTTTACACCTGATGAGACTGATAAGCTAACAGCTAGGCTGACTTCAACCAAGATCAAAATATATTGATGCTGTCTTAAAACCTCTGTAGTCTAAATTTGCCCACAGTTCCTTTAAAGTTGTTTTGTAAAACATTTCTCTGTCACCAATTTTGTAATGTGGTAATTTTGGCTAAACCACATGTACTTGACCCCTGGAGGTACTGTAGATGCTATAATCATGCTAATGCTTGTAGATAAATGGAAATCTCCATGTAAACTATCATGTGAAGCAAAGTTAGCAACAAATTAAAAGTTTTTTAAATGACATTTACATAAACAGCCATTAAAAAAGAGATTGGACCTGTTTTGTGACAATGACAACAGACGCTATGTTACGACTAGCCGTTAGCTCATCAGTTCTGAGCATTATTTCCTCAGAGGTGCTATAGAAGGTGATAAAGTTATTAGAACTTTTACACAAAAACACACCTCAGAATGGCTAAAATTATTCTTTAATTCATACATCTTACACCATACAAATGAAGACAGTAATAATGTAGAATTAGCTTGTTTAGCTCACTGCCAGCGAGCAAGTCTGACGTTACATAGCCGTGTCCTACCTCCCGCCACCAGAGGGGGCTGGTGAGTTTATGGCCTGCACCATGTCTGTGGTGAGGGCATCTAACAAGCTTGTAACGAATTCCACTTTCTTCCCCTCCGGGCAGCCTGGTACAAATCAAAGACGAAAAATAGAGCAAAATTACCTTCCACCACTAATTTGGGTCATTAGGTCCTGAAAAGCCTCAACACCATGAATCAGCATGACAGATCTCAAACAGAGAAAGTCTGTTAGTAGCTCAGAGTAATCACGCCATCCTTGTTGGGCGTTTAGGCAGAATTACGATGTTCGCATTTTTAATGGAGGCGATGGTTTGGTTGTTTTGTAGGATTTGGACCAAACAGCACATGGTGAGAGGAGGGAGAGAAACGTGCTGTGCTTTCAGAGAGCTCTGTTGAGCAGACCTGTTAACTTTTATGACACAATTCTGAACACCTCGGGTAGCTCTTTCTAATTGCCCAGATGAATGCTTTTAGTGGTGTGCTTAACCAGTGCAAATGTTTCCCTACTAATTGTGTCTAACTTCAAACACACCTCAGTGCTTAACTAATTTTCCTTTGTTCCGGTTTGAGCTGTCCTTTTCTCGAGCTTAATAGTTGATCTCCTTTCTCCCTGTCACCTGCACTGGTCCTGACTTTCTGTTAAAGGTGGTCCGCTGCCCCACCAGGTGAATCCAATTGGCCCATCTTACATGAAGTGGCACTGCCGTGCTGTGTCTTTATCCAAGTGTTGAATTGGGGCATACAAAGTGCAACCCGTTATGTGCAGCTAATGTGGGAAGGTGTGGTACAAGACATCTGGTGGTATCAAACACACTGGGCCTCCCAAGCGTCTTAACTAGAGAAAGCTGGTGAAATCTTTGGTGTTTCCGGTGTGAATGGAACACAGGATGGGGGAATGTCTCGTGTCCAAACAGAGACATGCAGACTTGCATACTCATAGACCTGGAGGAGTCATCTATTGTTTGTAACACCACAGCAAGCCTTCAGAAAAAAATAAACGAAACGATAACATTTTAGTAGTGATGCAAAAGCTACGTAATCATATTTAAAGGAATATTTCTGCCAATTTAACTCCAACCTATGTTAAGTAGCTTCCTGAACAGCCTCCTTTCCGGTCCAACAGGACTGACGTCCTAACAGCTAGTTCAGACACTGCTGAGATCAAATTGTCTTGCTCTAAAATCTATCCTTTACCCCAATGTCACAATAGGTTAATTGGTTAAAAATATCACCAGCAGCAGCAAAAGGCAGGTCTTGTGCAGCAGCGGTCAAATGGGGCTGTATATCGCAAAAATCCTAAACCCACATTCACTCAAAGTTCTAACACATTTAAAGTGGTCTCAATTATAAATGAATGCCTTGTAAGTTGTTCTCTGTGGAAAAAAGCTCTGGTGCCCTGTTTCAGGAAGTAGAAGTAAGTCAGCAAGATTTGGAGTCTTATTTCCTGATATTCCGACACCTCACCTGTGATTGGCTAACAGCAACACGACTCTACCACTGACTCAGTTCGCTTTGCAATGCTGATGTTTTATTTTCACAAATAACACAAGCCTGAAGGAGATCATCCATGTTGTAGAGTTACTAATGCTAACAATAACCTCCTACTAGTATAGACGTGCTCTGTTCTCCACCGGAAGTTCTGGCATTTTAAAGATCAGAACCATTCTACAATATCCACAAGTTAAGAAGAAATGGCTTAGAATTGCATCTGCTGATTGCTGCAAACAAGTGTTTAATCGACATTTGCATCTTTTAAAATTTTGCATTACAAGGTTATTTTCTCTGATTTAACAAACATCAGCTTTGATTCCTGCATGAATCTGCCTTTTATTTGATTTTTGTTTGCCTGCAAAGACCCTCAGCACTCTATGTAGCTAATCATGCATTGTGACCAAGGTGAGTGGATGTTAATAATTTTTGCAAGTTCCTCCTGAAGGAGGTGCTCTTTATCTGCACGCTGTTCATGAACCGGACTCTCATCTCACTGCCTTAATGTGATGGCCATGAAACAGCGAGCTTTGTTGTGGTGGTTCAAACATCTTTCTACAGTACATAAACATATCTTCAATACCCTGAGCAACGCCCCAACCCCACACCTTTCGTAAAACTTGCCACACATCTGCTGCACAGTCAGGAGTATGCTCAACTCTGTAAACCTACCAGATGGGGAATTAAGTAAGAGTTACAGTCCCGCTTCAACTGATGGGGAAACAGTAGGGAAACAAAAGAAAGGGAACAAAAACAATAACAGAGAAGGGAGTTATAGTAGTCGCCAATAAATCTGCAATATCAACTCGATCTACACACACAATTAATGGAAACAACCTTTTTATCCTGCGAGATTTAATGGTTTGATCTCATTGCTTGTTTAATGCACATTACATAAAATCCCTTCTCCAATTTTAAAGCTTTCAATTGGTGACCCTGTGGTGGGCTTGTTTGTAAAAGGCCTCGGTGAAAACAATGGATTTGCCATCAAGTTTAATAAAACAACATGAAGAAATCATAACAAACTGACATTTATGCTTTTTCTGAATCAGAATCCAAAACGTTTCAAGCTGCAGAGAAAAGAAAAGGAAACCTGTAAGCGGTCTGTCCTGAAATGGATCATATGCCCCTGAGATTTGGGATCGTGCAGCTTCGTCACACTCCGGCGTCTTGTACCTGTTGCAAGAAAAAATGCAAAACATGAGACACAAGATGAAGTCGGGAAAACATAAAAATAGTATCAGATAAGGTTATCATTCATGTTGACAGATCTGCTCAGTCACAGGAAATAAAAGAGATCAAACAAGCCTGGAACTAAGGCTCAACAAAACAAAAACACATGAATCTGTCTGAGCCGGAGCATGAAACAAGGAGATGGTATCGCTGCGAGGAAAATACCCTCATCTGTCTTTACTGTGAAGACAAACTTACATGATAAACTTTTCACTCTTTTTCCCCCTGAGACACTTCTGGTGGAACTTGAAGCATGCAATGTCGGAGGAAACGAGATAGCGCCAAACACCAGTCACCATCTTCCATGTCCAAACATCTTTTGTTGTCTGTGACTTCAATTGTGTTTTTCTTTTTGGGACTCTGGTAGTTTGTCCTAAAGTTGCAGTGGTAGCAGCCAGCTGTTTCTCCTTCTCTGATATTATTGAGCGGAGAACCTCACAGACCAGTGGTGTTCTGTTGCTAAATATGCGAGTGTGTAATGAGTGGAGGGCCCAGGGAAGTGCGGCGGTTTGACGAGACGAACAACTGAACGATGATCCAATAGTTGGTTTCAGTCCGAAATGTGTTATTGGTGGAGGTTTTTAGACAAATGTTTATTTTGTTTTTGTTTATCTCCACAATATATTTATAGCTAGTTAGAAGTTTTTTGAGAGGCATGGGAACATTTTTAGGTTAATTTATTTCCCAAATTTGTCATTGCAGCTTTAAGTGTAAAAGGCGTCTAACACCAAAACGCCCACAGATTCCCCACACAAAAGTCACAAAGGTAGTATCAAGACAAACTTTAGATGCAGATCATTTTATTAATGTTGAAAGATGCCAAAACTTAAGTGAAAAGCACAATCAGGAAGTCAACTTTTACACCTCAACTTCAAAGTGGAAGTACTGCAAGTTCACATAAACAAATCCACATGAGGGTTCAAAAAGGCATAAAGTGGCTTTCTCCATCTTCTGCCCTTGTTTCTGCTGAGTAAGATTAAAACATCTTGTGAGATGTCAGCATTTTGTGGTTATGGGTTATCTCATGGGCTGCACAGTGGTTCAGTGGCTAGTACTGTTGCCCTACAGCAAGAAGGTCATGGGTTTGAATCCCAGCCAAGAGTGTTTCTGCATGGAGTTTGCACGTTCTCCCTATAAATGCATGGATTCTCTCCGGAAACTCCAGCTTCCTCCTCCACAGTCCAAAAACATGATTGTCAGGTGGATTGGTTTCTCTGAAGTGTGTGTGTGTGTGTGTGTGTGTGTGTGTGTGTGTGTGTGTGTGTGTGTGTGTGTGTGTGTGTGTGTGTGTGTGTGTGTGTGTGTGTGTGTGTGTGTGTTGCCCTGCGATGGACTGGCAGCCTGTCCAGCTCTGCTGTACATAGGCCCCCCGTGACCCTGCATGGATAAGCGGGAAAAGAAAATAGATGGACGGATGGACTTATCTCATTACTACAAGATAAACAAGTTATTTTAAGACACTCTCATTGAAGCACATTTTTATGTCATTATTACAAGAACATTTCTTGTTAATGTAATGGATATAACCTGAAGACTCGGAAATTCAGCCAAACACAGCAGTTTGTGTTTCCTAATGTTGTGACTTGGCACACATATGGCAATAAAAACTTCTTATTCTGATTCTGATTCTGATTAAAGAAGATATTTATTTTAGAATGTGGGGGAATAAGGGAAAAGTAGAAAGTTCTGCTGTTAGGAAAACTGGAGACAGAGCAACATGTGCTGTGATGGCAGGGAGAAGGGAGGAGACTGTCTTGGTGCCAGCTATGCGAACTCCTCTTCTTGTCTGTGGATTTCCCCTCCTCTCCTCAGAATGACACAGACAATTAGTTCAGCCCAACAGAAGTTCATCAATCGAAAATCCAATGTCTAGGTGAGGTACAGGCAAGGTCATCCACAGGCAGGCAAAGGTCAGTAATACTTATCAGGGGGTAGAGCAGGAATCGGTAGTCAAAGTTCAGAGCCAAGGTAGGTCTCCAGATGACAGATGGGCGAGAGAATCCATGAGGGGCGAGGCAGGCAGAATCCGTGGACAGAAAACGTGGTCAAAAAATCAGAAAAGGGCTTGGCTGAAAAATATCGCTGGAGTCTCTACTGGCACAAGGCTGTCGATCATCTGACAGGGAGACAGAGCCTGAGCTTTGCTTAAAAGGAGGAGCACACAGGTGCAGCAGGGAGACAATCAGGCAGGGCTCAGGTGAACAATGTGAAGCTGATTAGTAACAGGAGGACTGGTAGAAAGGAAAAAAAAAACATGGCAGGCATGGCAGAACAACGTGGAACCATTACAGTACCTCCCCCTCAAGGACCGGCACTCGACGGGCCACCCGGCATTGAAGGATGAGTTTGATGCAAGAGACAGACAGAGGTTTCACACGGGATACATGAAAGGTAGAGCAAACACGGAGCGTCCCAGGAAGATGGAGGCAAACTGCCACTGGGTTGAGAACTTTTGAGATGGGGAATGGGCCAACAAAGCGAGGGGCCAGTTTGCAGCACTCAACCTGTAGAGAAAGATCCTTGGTAGACAGCCAAACATTCTGTCCCACCTCGTAGGCAGATGCAGACACCCGTCTCCGGTTAGCCACACGAGAATACACAGCAGAAGTCTTAAGCAGACCACAGCGGGCTTTTCTCCATACCCGCTGACATAGCAATGCTGCTGCATGAGCAGAGGGAACCTTGGCAGCTTTGTCCTGGAGAGAGAACACAGGTGGTTGAAGCCCATTCACCGTATAGAAGGGTGATAGCCCAGTGGCACTGGAGGGAAGGCTGTTCAGAGCTTGTTCAACCCAGGGGAGATTCTGAGACCACTTAGTAGGGTCATGTTCGCACAGCATGCATAGTTTTGTCTCAATCTCTTGATTAAGGCACTTGGTCTGTCCATCAGACTGTGGATGAAAACCAGAGGAGAGACTTGAATTAATTCCAAGCAACCCGCAGAACTCCCTCCAGAATTGCGAGACAAACTGAGGGCCTCAGTCAGAGACAATGTCAGTGGGAATGCCGTGCAGTCTGAACACTTCTCGGGCTAAGATCTGTCCAAGCTCCTTGGAAGACGGCAACTTTACGAGGGGAGCCAGGTGTACCGTCTTGGAGAACCTGTCAACAATGGTGAGTAGTACAGTAAACTTGTTAGAGGGGGCAAACCTGTGATAAAAATCCATGAGATGTGGGACCAGGGGCGCTGAGGTATAGGAAGAGGGTGCAGGTAACCAGCTGGGGGTCGGCGTGAGGGCTTGGACTGACAGCATATGGGGCAAGCTAGGATGAATCCTTTAACATCCTGCAGCATGGTCTTCCACCAAAAATGTTCCCTGACCACCGACATGGTCTTACTAACTCCTGGGTGATAATAGAGATGAGAACAATGGCACAAGGAGAATACCTCAGAGACCAGATGGTCTGGGACAAAAAGACGGTCCTTGGGACACCCCTCAGGTGCTGGGTGTTGTTGATGTGCCTCCCGTATCATGTTCTCTAGTTTGAGTCGTGTGACCGACAATCGTACCGACTAGGGAAGAATGTAGTCGTTCCCCTCCTGGGTTAGCCACTCGACTGATCCTTCATGGATCGTGGATAGGGCGTCTGGTTTGATGTTAAGGCCGGGTCTGTAAGACAATGTGAAGGTGAATCTATTGAAAAACAGAAACCACCTTGTCTGCCTGGGGTTGAGCCTTTTGGCTGAATGGAGATATTGAAGGTTCTTCTGGTCAATCCACACCAAAAAAGGCTCCTTGGCTCCCTCTAGCCAGCGTAGCCACTGAAGGGTTCTGGTTTCTGTATTTGGTCGCAAGCTCCTTTAGAGCATATGCACACATGTCTGTACCAAGCTGAGACTTAAAGTCAAACATCATTTGTGATTTTAAGGTGCTGCTAACTCTGTCCAGCAGAATTCTTTCCAAGACTTTAGAAAGCATGCTAGCCAGAGCAACGGGCCTATAGTTATCCATGCTACCATCACCCACCCTTGTCTTTCACCACTGGGACCAATAGAACAGCTAGCACTGAATCAGGCAATCATCCATGAGCAAGAAAAGCTGAAAGGCATATAGCAGTGGTGTGAGTGGTGCTAAGTTACTGCTAGCATACTTTAGGTATGTGGCTTTATTATTAGGTAGTTTAGTAATAGCTTGATGGAACTCATGTGACATAATTTAATCTATACTTTCACTTTTACCCATTATGTACAGTTCACTCGGTACACAATTGAACAAGTCGTAGTAATGATGTCTCCACAACTTTAGGATATTTTCAGTTCCTGAGACTCCATCAACCACACAGGGTATGGGTGTTCTCTTCCTGTAGTGTCTCACTTCTTTCCAGAAGTCTTTTGGTTTGTTAAGTAGTTTCAGAGCCAGAGACTCAGCTCTCATAGCTTGATTATTTTACTAAGAAAACACACTTCATATTTGCATTTAGCATTTTAGCCCTTTTACTCTCAAGCACAGGTCCATGTCTAGGTCTCCCTGCTAGAACCCACTTTTTGGAGGCCTCACGTGCTTCAGCATGACACTCAGACAAATGCTCTCTCCAGCCTGGTCTTATCTTTGTTTTAGTTTTATCTTTGTGAAAGGGAATGCTAGCCTTAAGCCTGATTCATGCTTCTCCGTCAGCTCCGCAAGGGACAGACACGCACAAATTGACGGAAGCGTTTTGCTTTCATACTTCTCCGTCTCCTGTGGAGCGTTGCAAAGCAATTCCCCGGCAAGACAACAGAGGGCGTAACGCTGTTCTGTGGTATCCTGTCATGTATCGGTCCAAGATAGTGTGATTACATTGTGTTTTTTTGTACATAAGAGACTTTTTAACACAGACAAATTTGTCTCTCATTCTCCTCCACCTCTTCATGCGCTCGCCACCTCTAAACCCACGTTTCCTGTCATTTCCTTCCACAAATAAAACACTTGCAGCGCATCTTTTCACTCCTCCAGTCTCGGGGAGGAACATTCATGTTCTTAGAGTTTTTTCGCGAGGTATTCTTCAAGCTGCTCTGTGTCTGCTGCTAGTTATCCTCTGCTCTCTTCATGTTTTTGAGGGCGCAATGGCGGCGGTGTAGACAGCAGCGGCGTCCTGACCAATCACAAGCTTGCGTTGTCCGTCTCAACTGACGGATGTTTGGAAAAGAGAGCTCGACTCTGTCCGTCCTTGCGGAGCTCTCCAGCAGGCCCGCAAGGACGTTGCGTGTCTCCGCACTGGCGCAGACGGAGAAGCATGAATCAGGCTTAAGGTAGAACATTCACTATGTCATCACACAAGTTACCTACTGCTGATATGTGTTCTGGATCTTTACAGTCAGTTTCTCTACAGGTGGCTGCTAACCTGGGCAAGCAAATACCGCCAAAGGTTTCTCAGTAAGCAGCTGATAGTTTATGCTGTCATCCTCAGAGAGGGTAGGCCAGTCTAGAACTTTCCTGGTATTTTCGCTGTCATGTTCTTCAAACATAGGCACACACTCCAGATTTATTTTAACCCAAATGGGATGTGATCAGAGCTAGACCTCCTGTATAAGATGTCTGTCTGACAGGGAGGCATAAGCATCAGCTGTTGAGACACAGTGACGCAACCCTGTGTAACAGGGTGGAAACACGAGGGCCCGGGCGGGATTTGATCCCCAGACTCCCGGGTGAGAGTCACATGCGCTAACCAGTCAGCCAAAGGGATGTCCCCGTGTCCAAGTAGCCAGTGTGCATCATCAGTCGGGATAGAGTGACAGGATGCTCACCCTGTCACACATGCTTCACTAATAAAAGTGTAATTATCTTCAGAAAAAAAATTTCAGTTGACAGCAGTAAGTAATACTTTTCTGACCAAAGTTTTTGACCCTTTTTTCTTTACTGGGTGAGTTTGATTTGTTTTTCCCCCAAATTTTAAACAGATCTTCGTCTTCGTCTTCGTCTTCCTCCGCTTATCCGGGTCCGGGTCGTGGGGGCAGCATCCCAACTAGGGAGCTCCAGGCCGTCCTCTCCCCGGCCTTGTCCACCAGCTCCTCCGGCAGGACCCCAAGGCGTTCCCGGACCAGATTGGAGATGTAACCTCTCCAACGTGTCCTGGGTCGACCCGGGGGCCTTCTGCCGGCAGGACATGCCCGAAACACCTCCCCGGGGAGGCGTCCAGGAGGCATCCTGACCAGATGCCCAAACCACCTCAACTGGCTCCTTTCGATCCGGAGGAGCAGCGGTTCTACTCCGAGTCCCTCCCGAATGTCCGAGCTCCTCACCCTATCTCTAAGGCTGAGCCCGGCCACCCTACGGAGGAAACTCATTTTGGCCGCTTGTATCCGCGATCTCGGTCTTTCGGTCATTACCCACAGCTCATGACCATAGGTGAGGACTGGGACGTAGATCGACCGGTAAATCGAGAGCCTGGCTTTCTGGCTCAACTCCCTCTTCCCCACGACAGATCGGCTCAGCGTCCGCATCACTGCAGATGCCGAACCAATCCGCCTGTCGATCTCCCGATCCCTCCTACCCTCACTCGTGAACAAGACCCCGAGATACTTAAACTCCTCCACTTGAGGTAGGACCTCTCCCCCGACCCGGAGGTGGCAAGCCACCCTTTTCCGGTCGAGAACCATGGTCTCAGATTTGGAGGTGCTGATCCTCATCCCAGCCGCTTCACATTCGGCCGCGAACCTACCCAGCAAGAGCTGAAGGTCAGAGCTGGATGAAGCTAGGAGGACCACATCATCCGCAAAAAGCAGAGACAAGATTCTCCTGCCACCAAACTCGACACACTCCACACCACGGCTGCGTCTAGAAATTCTGTCCATAAAAGTGATGAACAGAACCGGTGACAAAGGGCAGCCCTGGCGGAGTCCAACCCTCACTGGGAACAGGTCCGACTTACTACCGGCTATGCGGACCAAACTCACGCTCCTCTGGTAAAGGGACTGAATGGCCCTTAACAGAAAGCCACCCACCCCATACTCCTGGAGCGTCCCCCACAGGGTGCCCCTGGGGACACGGTCATAAGCCTTCTCCAAATCCACAAAGCACATGTGGATTGGTTGGGCAAACTCCCATGCCCCCTCCATCACCCTTGCAAGGGTATAGAGCTGGTCCACAGTTCCACGGCCAGGACGAAAACCACATTGCTCCTCCTCTATCTGAGATTCAACTATCGATCGGACCCTCCTCTCCAGTACCTTGGAGTAGACCTTTCCAGGGAGGCTGAGGAGTGTGATCCCCCTATAGTTGGAACACACCCTCAGGTCACCCTTCTTAAAGATGGGGACCACCACCCCGGTCTGCCACTCCCTAGGAACTGCCCCCGATGACCACGCAATGTTGTAGAGACGTGTCAACCATGACAGCCCTACAACATCCATAGCCTTGAGATACCCAGGACGAACCTCATCCGCCCCCGGGGCTCCGCCGCTGTGTAGTTGTTTGACTACCTCAGCAACTTCTGCCCCCGAGATCGGACAGTCCATCCCCAGGCCTCCCAGCTCTGGTTCCTCCTCGGAATGCGCATTGGTGGGATTGAGGAGCTCCTCAAAGTATTCCTTCCACCGTCCGACTATAGCCTCAGTTGACGTCAGCAGCTCCCCATCCCCACTGTAAACAGTGTGAGCGAGTTGCTGCCTTCCTCTCCTGAGGCGCCGGACAGTTTGCCAGAACCTCTTTGGAGCCGATCGATAGTCTTTCTCCATGGCCTCACCAAACTCCTCCCACGCCCGAGATTTTGCCTCGGCAACTGCCACTGCTGCACCCCGCCTGGCTATCCGGTACCTGTCTGATGCCTCCGGAGACCCACTGACCAGCCACGCCCTGTAGGCCTCCTTCTTCAGCTTGACGGCTCCCCGAACCTCTGGTGTCCACCAGCGGGTACGGGGGTTGCCACCACGACTGGCACCGGCCACCTTACGACCACAGCTAGCAACAGCCGCCTCGACAATCGCAGAGTGGAACAAGGCCCACTCGGACTCGATGTCCCCCACTGCTCTCGGGACGTGGTCAAAGCTCTGCCGGAGGTGGGAGTTGAAGACCGTCTTGACAGGTTCTTCTGCCAGGCGTTCCCAGCAGACCCTCACTATGCGTTTGGGTCTGCCAGGTCTACGCGGCATGTTCCCTTGCCATCTGATCCAACTCACCACCAGGTGGTGATCAGTTGACAGCTCCGCCCCTCTCTTCACTCGGGTGTCCAAAACATACGGCCGCAGGTCAGATGATACGACTACAAAATCTATCATCGACCTGTGACCTAGGCTGCCCTGGTACCAAGTGTACCGGTGGGCATCCTTATGTTCGAACATGGTGTTCGTTATGGCCAAACTGCGGCTTGCACAGAAGTCCAATAACAAAACACCGCTCGAGTTCTGATTAGGTGGGCCGTTCCTCCCAATCACACCCCTCCAGGTCAAGCTGTCATTGCCCACGTGAGCATTGAAGTCCCCCAGCAGGACAATGGAGTCCCCTGATGGAGCACTATCTAGCACTCGTCCCAGGGACTCCAAAAAGGGTGGGTACTCTGAACTGATATTTGGCCCATAAGCACAAACAACAGTCGGGACCCGTTCCCCGACCCGAAGGCGCAAGGAAGCTACCCTCTTGTCCCCCGGGGTAAACCCCAACACACAGGCAGAGAGTCTCGGGGCTAACAAAAAGCCAACCCCAGCCCTCCGCCTCTCACCCGGAGCAACTCCAGCAAAGTAGAGTGTCCAACCCCTCTCCAGGTCTCGGGTTCCAGAGCCAATGCAATGTGTCGAGGTGAGTCCGACTATATCTAGCCGGTACCGCTCAACCTCTGCCACAAGCTCCGGCTCCTTCCCCGCCAGCGAGGTGACGTTCCATGTCCCAAAAACTAGTTTTCTTGTCTGGGGATTGGACCACCAAGGCTCCCGCCTTGGTCTGCCACCCGATTCGCATTGCACCGGACCCTTCATGTTCCTCCTGCGGGTGGTGGGTCCACAGTTGGACGAGCCCATGTATCCGGTTCGGGCTGGGCCCGGCCGGGCCCCATGGGCGAAAGCCCGGCCACCAGGCGCTCGCTCACGGGCCCCAACCCCAGGCCTGGCTCCAGGGTGGGACCCCGGTAACCCTCCGGGCCGGGTACTCCGACTCTTCGTTTTAACCGCCATGAAAGATCCTTCGAAACAGATCAATGCTTTAACCTCAAAATTAATAGCAGAGTAGAGTAGAGTAGAGTAGAGTAGAGTAGAGTAGAGTAGAATGTATTGATCATATAGCAGAACAAACACTTGAGAATAGTTTGAAGATAAATAATAACAAAGGTGCATGTATATACACATAGGCAGTAAGCTAGTATTGTAACAGTCAACCACAAAAACTGTGAATAAAAAGGAAAACTTGCGCTCCAGAACAATGCAGCATACTGTACACAGACATTCGTTTAAATCCAGTATTGCACGAGTATTGAACACACACTGAATATTGCATTGGTGTTTTTGTGTACCAGGATAATGCCAGTACCAGTTAAACTGAGGAGTTATACACTATTAATGACTTCATTTATTCAGATTTAAATCTCATGCAAAATTACCGTATTTTATTTATAGTCTCACAGAGCTATCACTATGACTAGAGAGTAAAATCTTAATTACCTGGTGGACGTTCCTGGAATGGGCCGTCCCGTGTCCACCAGAACACACCAGCAGTAGCCAGTGGACTGGTGGCACTGGACTGCCTTGTAAAGACCTCCGGTCCCACAGTCTGGAATAAAAAAGTCTCTGTGAGGACTCCTCCCAGCCTCGTCCAGGGCGATCTGTCTCTCCTGGTCACAAGAGGGAACTTTTTCTAAAATCATGAGAAATCAGTGCAGAGACACAAGGTTGGGCAAGCAGATGCATAGATCACAAAACAAAAAGTAAGCACACTCTCAATAAGCAGTGACCAGATTTAAAAAGTGACCATAAATGGAAGGAGAGGTGAAACGATGGTGTGATGGTTAGTTCAGTGGTACTTCATCCATGTCTTGAAAATGTGTTTATAATGTGTTTCCAGGAGTAGATCAGTGTTTAGAGTCAGTGAACCCAACTTTACAATCGACTGTTCTTGGATCGGTTTGACTCTGTGGGAAAAAAACCACAGCAACCATTTGAACGTTGCCAAGGATGTGTTTGCTCACCGCCATCGTTTATATTTTTGAGCTTAACAACAGACCTCAGCTCTGCAATATCTTGTCTCAGCACACAGTGTTCACGTCCTTTCCTGTTCATAAATTAAACATCCAGATCCCGTTACGGTTACACAGACTCACTCTTAACAACCCAGATCCATTCCATTTTTATATTCAAATTAAGCAACAGTCCCAGAACCTTCCTCACTGCTGGAGTTTTTAAACCAGCAGGTGGTGTTAAAATGAGACATGAGCAGAGACAAAACAATATCTGACATCTAAATATGCATTTGTACTTCAAATGCTCCAGTCTAAGTTACAACGAACAATGTTTTCCCCTAGCATGTCATATTTTCAACCACAAAAACCAAAACTTATGTGGTAAGGAAAACTTCCACCATTTCATTTTAGTTTTAAAAACAAGACAATAAAAATAAATCGCGACCCTTTGAACTTACTGCAGGTATCAATTTTGTCTTATAAACAGCAGCAAAATCAGACGGATTACGAACTTTGATGATGAACTTTCATTTGTGAAAAGATGGTGATTAAAGCAACACTAGGTAGTGTTTGACAGTTTAAGCTATTGCTTTCTTGAGTCATAAACGTTTGCAACTTCACATTAAACAGCACTCGTCAAAGGTTCAGGTAGGGACACTTGTGGGGAGTCTTTACCTGCTTCAATAGCTGTTTACTGTGCTGGGAGTTCATATAAAGGCTAGCTGTTAGCTTTTTTCAGTTTGTTAACAGTCAATAAAAGCAGAAAAAGAAAGATTTTGCCATTTTAGCTAATTTTAATAATAATAATAATAATAATAATAATAATAATAATAATAATAATAATAATAATAATAATAATAATAATAATAATGGGCTGGTTTAAAATAGCACTTTTCAAGGCACCCAAAGTGCTTTACATTATTCATGCACTTTCACATTCACACACTGTTACTGATGTTAAGCTAGGTAGCCACAGCTGCCCTGGGGTGGTCTGATGGGGGCAAGGCTGCCATTTTGCACCATCAGCCCCTTTGACCACCACCAACACAGACAAGTTGGGTGAAGTGTCTTTCCCAAGGACACAACAGCAATATTCCCCTAGCAGGAGCTGGAGTCACACCCAAGACCCTCCAATCATGAGGCAACACGCTCTACCTCCTGAGCTGCTGCCCCAAACATCATGGCTGATCCTGGAAGTAAAAAGAAAAAAGTAATGTCCGAAGGCGAAGCAAAGAGCTAAAGATTGCTAAAGGAAGCTATGAAACAATTAACTGACGGTGACCTGGCTTTGTTGGACTTGTAAGTAGTACAAACCGGAATCAAAAAAAGTTGGGACACTATACAATTCGTGAATAAAAACTGAATGCAATGATGTAGAGGTGCCAACCTCTAATATTTTAGTCAGAATAGAACCTAAATCACTGAACAAAAGTTTAAACTGAGAAAATGCATCATTTTAAGGGAAAAATACATTGATTCAAAATTTCATGGTGTCAACAAATCCCAAAAAAGTTGGGACAAGGCCATTTTCACCACTGTGGCATCTCCCCTTCTTCTTACAGCACTCAGACGTCTGGGGACCGAGGAGACAAGTTTCTCAAGTTTAGAAATAGGAATGCTCTCCCATTCTTGTCTAATACAGGCCTCTAACTGTTCAATCGTCTCGGGCCTTCTTTGTCGCACCTTCCTCTTTATGATGCGCCAAATGTTCTTTATAGGTGAAAGATCTGGACTGCAGACTGGTCATTTCAGAACCCGGATCCTTCTACGCATGCCATGATGTTGTGATTGAAGCAGAATGTGGTCTGGCATTATCTTGTTGAAAAATGCAGGGCCTTCCCCGAAGGAGATGACGTCTGGATGGGAGCATATGTTGTTCCAGAACCTGAATATTCTTCTGCATTGATGGTGCCTTTCCAGACATGCAAGCTGCCCACGCCACACACACTCATGCAACCACGTACCATCAGAGGTGCAGCCTTCTGAACTGAGTGTTGACAACAACTTGGGTTGTCCTTGTCCTCTTTGGTCCGGATGACATGGGGTCCCACATTTCCAAAAATAACTTTGAATCGTGACTCATCTGACCACAGAACAGTCTTCTATTTTGCCACACTCCATTTTAAATGGTCCCTGGCCCAGTGAAAACGCCTGAGCTTGTGGATCTTGCTTAGAAATGGTTTCTTCTTTGCTTTGTAGAGTTTCAACTCGCAACTGCGGTTGGCACGGTGGACTGTGTTCACTGACAATGGTTTCTGGAAGTATTCCTGAGCCCATTCTTTGATTTTCTTTACAGTAGAATTCCTGTTCATGGTGCAGTGTCGTTTAAGGGCCCGGAGATCAGGGGCATCCAGTATGGTTTTACACCCTTGACCCTTACGTACAGAGATTGTTCCGGATTCTCTGAATCTTCGGATAATGTTATGCACAGCTGATGATGATACCTGCAAAGTCTTTGCTATTTTTCGCTGGGTAACACCTGTCTGATATTACTCCACTATCTTTCTGCGCAACGTTGTGGGAATTGGTGATCCTCTACCCATCTTGGCCTCTGAGAGACACTGCCACTCTGAGAAGCTCTTTTTATACCCAGTCACGTTGCCAAATGACCTAATTAGAGTTAATTGGTCTTCCAGCTCCTCGTTATGCTCAAATTTACTATTTCCAGCCTCTTATTGCTACTTGTCCCAACTTTTTGGGGATTTGAATCAACATATTTTTCCTTTAAAATGATACATTTTCTCAGTTCAAACTTTTGTTCCATGATTTAGGTTCTATTCTGGCTAAAATTTTAGAGGTTGGCACCTCCACATCATTGCATTCAGTTTTTATTCACGATTTTTATAGTGTCCCAACTTTTTTTGGAATCAGGTTTGTAATTTTTTTTTCAATAGTGTTGATTTTTTTAGTTTGTGGCCTATTTAGTATCTGTTGGCTTTTGTTTGCAGTTGCTCATTGTTAGCACTAGCTACAGCAGGGTTTTTTACAACAGTTATAGATCCGCTTTCAACCAGCTAGAAGGAGAAGCAGGAATATTTAAAGCTACAACAGCAAATTTGCAAACCAAGCTAGCCTAAAACATTTTTAATGTCTCTTAACAACATTTTAACATTGTATAACTATAAATATTAGGTGAAGATTGAAACTACAAATTTAATGAAGTGGTTTGTCTAAAACTCTCCAATAACACGGTTCAGTGTTTATCATTAGTGCTCATTACACAAACATTAATCTTTAAGGTAAAATGTGTTTATAAGGAGATGAAGGTGATTCCAGGAACAGGTCTGAGCCTGCTGCCAACACAGACCTAAAAGTGTCTCACTCAACCTTTTTCTCTCTCAAGACTCACACTCGGGTGCTTAGCTGCATCTTTGCCAAGGTTGCGTCACATTCAAATTATTTAACACTGTTTATTATACAGAGGTTATGCTGGCGCCAGGCACTAAAATTCCCAAAAGAAAAGAGTTTTTACATATAAATGGAAAAAAGGCTGAATGCTGGCAATCCCTTTAGGTTAGCATGGTTTGGAAATTCAATCTGCTTAGAAAATCGGCATTTCTGCTGTATTTGTTTTTTTGTTGTCGTTTCCTTTCCTCGTGCCTTGGTAGGAACTGAAAGATGAGACATATACACTCTTCAAAAATAAACACTTTATTGAAAAAGGGAACCCACACAAGCAGAGGTCTGGAGGAGTTGTGAGTTTCCTGGTTGTTGTGGTGATTTTCCTCAAGAAAAATTGATAATTGACTAAATATGATGAGATGCAAGTCTGTATTATTTGTTCCATTTTGAACATTCCTATCCAGACTCGGAGTCGGGGGAATTTTTTTTTATCGCTTTTCTTTTCCCAGATTGACACAAACCACCACACGTCCTCCTCTCCTCTGCCTCTTTCCCCTTCACCATTTTCTTCTGTCTTCTGCTTTTCTACATCTTCGATCTTCAAACCCTCCCACCTCCCCCCCGTCTCCCAGCACTTTGTCCTCTTCACTTCACTCCAATAGCTTTCAGCTGTGGGGTAATCGCTGCAACATTGTTTCTAGGAAGCCTTCTCTGCAGTTAAAATAGCTGAAACGTTAGGGCAAGAGGAACAGTGTGAGGAGGCTTGTGAGTGCACGCGTTTTATTGGCAGCGCAACAACACAAACAGAAAGATGGTGAAGGATTTAGTCATAGAAAATTTCATCTCTTCTTTCAGCACTGCAGTTACATTTACACACCATTTATTGGGTTCTGTTGCTGTCTTCACGTTTTGTGCCTGGAAGTACAACAGTAATGTGCACCACGCCGCACGAGACATAACAAGAGGATTAAAGGACAAAAAGATCTTTTTTTTTTTTGGACAGCAGATGTTTAGACAGAATCGTGCTCTTAGATGGCTGATCACTGACTGCAGAGGGCTTCAACTGGACAAACGCACATCAACAGTTGGCAGCAAAGCCCCTGGTTGAAAAATGGACTTTGCATTGCTCTGCTTAAACAAACATGCTTCACAAACACTCTCAATCAGAATTATGGGGTACCAGCGACAGTCAGTGAATGAATAATGCTGCTGGAGTGCTGCATCATGAGCTCTCAGATTTTCCAGCTTTTAAGAGACAGACAGAGGGCTGTAAATAGTGAGTTGTTGAACCACTCTGTCGGATTTTTTTAGAGGAAAGAAAACGGAAAGTAATCTCTGCTTGATCAGATAATCTCTCGACTGCTTCGTCTCACTCTGTGGACTTGAGCCTCAAACACTGTCAGAATAAAGCAAACTCTCGCCCATTAACAGAGCTCACAGAGCCATGGTGGTGGAGACCTCAGAACATCCCGGTGGGAAAGCTGTAGAATAATGTAGGAGGGTGCAGCAGAGGGAGGGTACACTCTAATGAGCAAGCTGCGTGCATATCTATCCCAGATCCCATTCAGAGTTGGACTATACGTTTATTCTCTGTCAGACGGAGAATAAAGTGTTTGTAGATAATAAGTGATAATAAGTGATTATCGGGGACGAGGGATTAAACCACCAAATAGTTCCCGAGCACAGCCACAGCTGCAGCTCACTGCTCCCCACGGCGATGGGTCAAATGCGGCGACGAATTTCACCAGTGTGACAATGGGACTTCAACTTTGTTTCTGTTGCCACCTAGTGGCTAAAAACCAAACCACTGTCATCTCATCTTTGTTTCTTGCTCATTATAAGACCGTGACGCAATCTCCTTTTTAACCACATGTTCATGAAAACACACACGGAGACCAACATAGACAGTGTGGAATTATGGATGCAGACACATCTCTCATGTCCCCTGAGCTGGCCTCATCTCTGGTCCTATGCGGTCTCCAGATGCTAACTGGAAACAGGAAGCTGGTATTTCCACAAATTTCAAGGAACTGTCACAGTAAATATCTGTCAAATAAAACATCAGGCAGGCTAGACCACAGCTTCCCTCTCCCCTCATTCAAAAGGTCAATAAAAGCACCACTTAAAATGTAATAATTGTGTCTTATGATGTTTGCACGACCGGGTCAAATCTACGAATGCGTGATAATACAGCTTTAGAAGAATCTCTCACCTTTAAATAAAAAGAGTGTTCTCAACAAGAGATTCTGTGTGTAAGCACCTTCGGAGGTCTGTGTGGAAGTAAAGGGGAGGTATTCAACCCACTATCCAGCATGTTTTAGTTGTTTCTCTGCTCCAGCACTCCTGGTTCGATGGTTTAATCAGGTGCTTAAGCTCTGCAGAAGCTTGTTAATCATCTGCTGCTTGAAATTATTTTATTTGATGTATTTATTTACATCACCTTCTACCACTGGTCATGTAGGCCCAAAGTGCTGCACACGAGAGAGTCAAAGCATGAAAGCACACAAAAACATGACATGAAAACAAAGACCTGCTAGGCAGATGGTAATGCATGCTAGTGCAAAAGCTGTTAGGCTTTGAAACTGTAGGGAAGAAGCTTCTTAAATAGCCAGCAGAGATTTACATCTCTCTAAGACTCACACTAAGTTCTTGGAACCAGCAACAAGCATTGCTCCAAAGAGTGAAGGAACCTTGAAAGGGAGCACATTGACATCAGACAAGAGAAATAGGATAGCTCCAAAAATCAGGTGTACAGGCAGCCAGTTCAGTGAGGCCAGGATCAGGGGTGCATATCCACTTCTTTGTACCACTAATGAATCTGGCCGCAGCATTTTGCACCATCTGACACCGAGACCTCACGCAGCTGCTGCATAAAAGGAACTGCAATATTTAAGCTGGAGAACACAAAAGCATGCGTCATAACCTGAAAGTTCGACTTCAAAAGCAAGGGTTTCATCCTAGCCAACCTCGTATTTAAAGAGAGGTGTTTCCAGCTCTAGAGCAGCCTATTCTGTTCATTTTGAATAGCCCTCTGGTCTGCATAGGAATAGAGCTACCAAATAGAAATCGAGCACCTCTTGAGCTCACCTTGCCTTCTGACAGTGGAGCTGTTTTGCTTATTCTCCTGAGAAACCAGCTGTTTTTTCCAGAGTGTTGGAGCGGTTATCTCTGAAGAGACAGGAAGACAAGCATCAATTAGCACGTTTCTGATCTGATGCATCAACAGCTCTGAACTACAAACTCTACCATAGGTTCTTCTTAAGCCTAAATCGGGACTTAATTTTTTTTCAGACTCGTATTTTGAAGACTGTCTGCAAGCTTTAACCCTACTTCACACTGGAAGCATCAGCGGTGCGGAGTGGATGCGACGTGGAAAATTTGAGGAAGAAGCAACAGAAAGGATAAGATTGGTTCTTTGTTTGCCGCATTGGGACACGTTGATTTCAGCAGTTATGATAGGGCTCGACAGGAAGTCACATCCTGCTTCAGTGTACAACCTCCAGTCATTTTAAAAATAAAAGACTGTTTCAACTATGTGATTTCATGTAGAATAAGTCAAAACATGTGACCTAACAGCTTTTCTACTCCCTGCATCGTTCGAGGAGTTCAGCTATGTGTTTTTATGGTTTTAATCCTGGCAGTGGAGTGGAACAACATCATATATGACATCAAACAGCAATATCAAACCTGATTTCTTTGTTTTTCTTTAACTCATTCACTGTCATCCGTCCTCTGATCAGAAAGCCCACAACTTCCAGCGTTTCTGAGAAATCTTTATGTTTTTTGAAAGGTCATAGAACATTGTGATCTATGACGTGTGACACTCACGGATGAAAATCCGCTTTAGAGGTGCGATGTTTACTGTCAAGGTTCCCATGCTCATCCCATTAAAAAAACGCATCTGACGACTTTAGCAGTCGATGGCAGTGAATGAGTTCATAACAAAGTTATTTGGAATATTCATGAATAATAGAAATAATTATTATGAAGTGCACATGCAAAGTATTGTTTGTTTGAGATCTAGCAAAGCTGCTGGGGGGCGGACGGATGCAAACTAGTAATCACAACAGAAACTACAGAATTATTAGAAGAATCTTCCTAATTAGTGAAAAGGGAATGTATATGGTAGTCAGAGGAAAACTAAACCAGTTCAGTGGCTGATTATTATAGAAAAACTGTAAAAAGTCAAATATTTTATAAGTTTTAGTGAGAGCTGGATGTTTTCATTGGATGTAACAAAGCATTTTCAGGAAGCATGATCCCAGGATTGGGTATTGAAGCTATCGGTCAGGTCCTGCTTTTACCATCTTAGACGTGTTTCAAAATTAAAGTCCATCCTGAGTGTTCGTCTTCTACAATCTGTGATTCACGCATTCATCACTTCTCGGTTGGATTATTCAAACTCCTGTTTGTACGGTATCAGTGAGGCGGCTTTGTCTAGGCTTCAGCTTGTTCAGAATTCTGCAGCAAGGTTCTTGACTGGAGCTGAAAGAAGACACCACATCTCACCTATTCTTAAAACGCTTCACTGGTTGCCCGTTAAATTCAGGATCAATTATAAAATTTTACTTCTCACGTTCAAATCCTTAAACGGTCAAGCTCCTCCCTATCTGTGTGATCTCCTTCATTACTACCACCCTCCTCGAGCTCTTAGGTCTGAAGATCAACTCCTCTTAACTGTCCCTAAGGCACGTTTGAAGACTCGTGGGGAAAGGGCTTTTTCAGTCTGTGCCCCAAAGTTATGGAACTCATTACCACTGCAGGTTAGGCAAGCTTCCTCTATCGGCGTCTTTAAATCTCGTCTGAAGACCCTCTACTTCACTTACGCATTCGATCCCTAATTCCATAACTCCTTAGCTCATCCATTGTCCCTCCTAGACAATTCAATTTTAATTTTGTGTTTTTATATTCTGGTTTTATTTGCTTTTACTGTTAATAGTCTGTTGTTTTATTTATTTTGCTCCTTTTTACATTTTCCATCTACCTGACTATTTTAACTTGAGTTTTCTTGCTTGTTTTTTGTGCAGCGCTTTGTATGGTTGTAATGCCGTGTTGAAAGCGCTCTATAAATAAATTGGTATGGTATGGTATGGTACACCATTTAGCTTCAGCAATCTGCTGAAGGGAATTCTACATAACTTCAGTTCACAAAGGAACAAAAAGCGGAGGGTCATTAGGAATCTGCACATTAGCTGTTTTATGTACAGGTGGAAGAAGAGCTAGAGGAGGCTTACCTTCACCCTCAGGGGAGATGTGGGTCTCCATGGTGGGTGTGGGCTTGGAGCCCTCATCTGGATTCAGAGTGAGAAAGAAACGGAAAGAGACTACCATTATTGAGGTTAATACAATCTACTCTCCAGAACTGTTGAATGGTTTGGATTTGCACATGGCCCGGCCAAGAGAGAGAGAGAGAGAGAGAGAGAGAGAGAGCGAGAGAGAGAGAGAGAGCGAGAGAGAGAGAGAGAGAGAGAGAGAGAGAGAGAGAGAGAGAGAGAGAGAGAGAGAGAGAGAGAGAGAGAGAGAGAGAGAGAGAGAGAGAGAGAGAGAGAGAGAAAGAAAAAGAAAGAAAAAGAAAGAAAGAAAGACAGAGAGAGAGAGAGAGAGAGAGAGAGAGAGAGAGAGAGAGAGAGAGAGAGAGAGAGAGAGAGAGAGAGAGAGAGACATGGGTGCTTCGGCACCCCCACAAAAATAAGTCACTATTAAACTTCTAAGATCCAGGATTCATTAATACTTGGTTTAACAAAAACACTGGAGGAGATTTAAAATTAAAAATTTGCTATAAATATAACAAAATTGGGGCTGCACTGTGGTGCAGTGGTTAGTGACGTTGCCTTGCAGCAAGAAGGTCCTGGTTTCAAATCCCAGCCTGGGATCTTTCTGCATGGAGCTTGCATGTTCTCCCTGTGCATGCGTGGGTTCTCTCCAGGTGCTCCGGCTTCCTCCCACAGTCCAAAACTATGACTGTTAGGTTGATTGGTCTCTCTAAAATGTCCTTAGGTGTGTGTGCGTGTGTGTGTTTGGTTGTTTGTCCTGTGTGTCTCTGTGTTGCCGTGCGATGGACCTGCCCAGGGTGTACCCCGCCTGCATGCCCTGAGACAGCTGGAGATAGGCAGCCCCCCCGCGTCCCTGCGAGGAAAAGCGGGTAAAGACGATGGATGGATGGATGGATGGATGGATGGATGGATGGAAATATAACAAAAGTACGATTATTGTATCCAGTTGTCATTTTAATAAATCTCAGCGATGAGTCCAGCTTTAATGTCGTCTTCATCTACCTTCTGCCTTTCTTAATACCTGCTATTAAAAATCACTGCAACATATCAAAGCTATATAAAATAAAAACGTATTAAACACTTTTGGCCTCTTTCTAAAGCTTTGCTCTAGCTTCTCAGCCGCACATGAAATCCAGTCAGTGCAGTAAAATCATGAAACCTTTTCTTTCCCAAAACAAACGAACCCAGCTCTTATTCTGAGGAGCAACACTGACCTGTAGATCTGTGTGTGCTTCACTTACTAATCACCAAGTACTCAGTTGTACTCAGTTACATATCTAAATACGCGTATAGATTAGTAAATGTAGTTTGTTGCCTTTCATCTATTTAACTTTTAGCTTTCTTTTGCATTTAATTTAACAGCAAAATATTTCTGTCAATAAAAACCAAAAATAGTGTTTTTGTTTGCTATGTTACTTTTCATAACCACTTGATTTATGATGGCTAGTCTGGCACCACAGTATTCTTTTTTATTACCTCAGAATTATTGTATTTTTTAAAGTATTTTTATTTTGGATCTTCATGAAGACCAGCCAATCCCATTAAACTGGTCAAGTCGTTTAAAATTCCTGCACAAATTTTGCACTAAGCCCAGGAAGTTCAGCTTCCTGTGAAAAGTGTATTTTTAACATACATTTGCAGACATATCTGTTATAAATGCGACGTATGCATAGCTTTCCATCACTTCAGGAACAGAATTTGATTTTTACTGCGACCTTCTGACTTACAGTGGGATAGATTTAGTGATTTAGTAAAACATGACATACCAGTGGCTGTTTAGGTAGGTCATCATTTTGTGGCTCGATACAATAATACGCAGGAGAGACGATCACATTATCTTTGATTTCAGTCATGAAGATAGCAAACCCCCTGGGCTGAAGGAAACGCTCAGACAGGCTGAAGCAGCAAATGTTGGACCTCCCAAAGGAGCTTCCTAGAATACTCACCACTGAGCAGTTGTTGGTGAATCTGGAACATTCCTTAGAGAGTAAATCAGTCAAAAGCAAACAAAAGAAAAACTTTGATATGGAGTTCATTCCACCAACAGTTCAGTCCCATCCTTAAATCAGATCACATGACAGTACAGTGACAACATTTTAGGGTCAGTCTGACCTGATTTCATTCAGCTGTAAATAAACTGCAGCAGCTGGTCTCAGACAAGCAAACAAGAAAATACAGAAACAGGTTTTGTCTTCTAAATATTTACTTTAGTTTACTCATCTATAGAAGGAAATTAATAACCTTAATGAGAAATGATAAATGAGCCGCACTTGTATCGCGCCTCTCAGAGTAAGGACTCCAAAGCGCTTTACACTACAGTGTATCATTCATCCATTCACACACACATTCACACACTGATGGTGATGAGCTACGATGTAGCCACAGCTGCCCTGGGGCGCACTGACAGAGGCGAGGCTGCCGAGCACAGGCACCACCGGTCCCTCCGACCCCCACCAGCAGGCAACGTGGGTTAAGTGTCTTGCCCAAGGACACAACAGCAGAATTCTCTGTCCGGAGCCGGGATCAAACCTGCAACCTTCCGATTACTGGACAACCCGCTCAACCTGTTGAGCTACTGCTGCCCAACCTACAGCATAGGGAGCCTACAGTCACGCCCATCTACTTCCGAACCATGGGTCCTCAAAGAACGGAAAAATGAATGCAAGTCAATGGGGCTAAAAACGCTATTTTCTAATTCCTCTTGTTATGTTCCACGGATTTCACATATGGTGTCCGTGAATTTTGAAGAAGCATTTTGATACCAAGAACTCACTTATTTTCCAACGAGGGGAAACGCTATTTTAGGTTTAGTGTGAAAATAAGTCCAAGACTACAAATGCGCTTCACTAAAATGACGTCATCGAACCAGACACGGAGAAGACTGAGGGAAAAGGGCTGTAAGTTCAGCGAACTTCAAATCCTTCTTTCAGAAGGAAATCTGGCCATGTGGTAAGTAGCAGCTACGCTAGGGGAGAAACATGTCATCTGGTTTGTAATCATGCTAATTACAAACTTTTACAAGCTAATAAAATGCAAAGCACATGACAGGTGTGGCTGAAACACACATCACTACTTTACTTTTAAGTTGCAGTGCAACATATGTGCGATCCAGGGCGTAAGGCTAAGCAGATCAGAAAATACCGTTTTTAGCCCCATTGACTTCCATTCATTTTTTTGTTCTTCCGGGGACCCATGAGCCGACCGGAAAGGGAGGAGATTTTAGGCTCTCTGTTTGCTCAATTTGTTAGCCTAGCAGTAGCAAAGGATGTTGCTCTGCAGGTTGGTCTAGCCATGCAACATTGTAGCCTCAGCCGGTATACCACTGGCCAGAACAATTCTACATTGGACCAATCACAACACACTGTTTGTGGAGTGGCGTTGGGCAGGCTTAGCACCGGAGCTGAGACTGAGAAAACTACAAAGATGGCGTCGGGTCAGGAACAATGCTAGTTTGAAACGGCTTTGGCATCAACTTTGGACAATATAGACTTAGGCTTTTCTTTGAGAAAAGAGCAGATAGAGGTACTTAAGTCCTTCATTTGGAAAAAGGTCATTGACTAAGTTCTGAACCGCTGAATATGTAACATTGTTTATTGCTCTGATTGGTACTAGCGATGTCCTGGTACACAGAGAAAGTTTGAAAGACAACCATAGACTCCGCCGAGCTCTTTATGTGGATCGTGGCCAGACTATATTTACATATATAAGATGGTTCGCCAGCCAATTTTTTTGTTTAATTTAGGTCTGAATAAAAAAATAAATAAAACAGGTAAAATTGAGTAAGTTAAACTTTAGATTGAAATGTAAAACTTCTGCTCAGATAATGAGATTTTAATAACATTTATGTAACAATGTATAAAAATTATCCAATAGACTGAAGGGCCTGAAGAATTGAGTGCCTGTTTACATAAGTGCAGCCCAACCCTAACTGTTGCATTTTAAAATGTCTTTATTTGTTTCAATAATGTTTATGTGTATCTTTTACACTCTAAAAAGCAGAATCTGTTTTTCAAATAAAGAAATTCCAAACAAAATCTTTACATAACCCTAACTTCAGGCCTTGAATCAGTCAAACAGTAAACACTTTTTATTTAAAATTCTGCCGAACTCAACACGCTCATAATGTTTAGAAAAGAAGAAAAAAAGCAACTTTGGATTTCAGACCTCTTAGCATTTCATTATCCGATAATGTAACTTTCTGGTTGGACAAAAATGGACTTTGGACATCAGGTGGAGCAAAATAAACTACAAAGGCAAACGGGAACATCGGCATGTCCACACACAACAAACAGCAGAGCTCAACTCACCTCTTTTACCGGTGGTCGGTGTCCCAGGTGGTTTATCAGTTACCGACTCTGTGAGAGATGGGGGGAGGGGGAAGACAACATGAACAAAGCCTGGAGCAAACAGCAGCTTTTAACACTCAAGATGGTTCACGCTAAAATCTAGAGCTGACACTTTTGTTCATCCAGACAGAAACGAGGGGAGCTTTTTCTGAGACTCGCACACACAAGCATCCTGTTAGTACTTGACTGTTTCCCACTCTGAAACCCCGTCCACACTGCCCTGACTTTAAATATGCTTCATCTGTAAGAAAAAAACTAAATAACAGGAAGAAACTGATCCGCATTATTTGATGCATGCAAGGTGGTGTCATGCATGGGTGCAGTGAATGGAAAGGGGGGGGGGGGGGGTCAATTGCAACCAATCACTACAGAAAGGAAGAATTTTTGAGTGAAAGCACCTAAAGAAAAATTTACTACCTGACAGTCCACTCTTCCCAGCATGAGTTCCCATATATTCACTGAGATTTCCTGCAAACGTATGCAAAATGATTCATTTGGGTCATCGTCTCCAGGGGTGTTTAGCATGTCAGAAAAGGTTATCAGAACGGGGAAATAAGTTGTGCGCGTTTAAAGGTAGCGGCTCAGCTAGAGGGGGTTTATTGTGTCCAGATTCAGGTTCTGGCCTCACACATACGTACGTACCTTTGCAAGAAACCACAAAGATATTGGATCTTATGCAGGACAGAAGGAGCTAGAAGTGCTGCTGTTACCCGTGAATTAAAATTAAACAACAAAAAAGTGTAACTGAGATCTGGTGGAGAGAGAAAAACTGATTATTGTAACAGGATGTTGTTTCCAAGATCATTCTAAGAAAGTCTTCTGCTAACTGTTAGTTTTTTTTATGTGAGTTTAAGACATTAGATTACTAAACTTTAACTTTAAAATTGTAGTGGAACATTAACAGATTACAGGTTTCCTAATAACACACCTAAACAAGGTGTATAAAACCCATAAATATTTACTCTTTTACCTATTGAAAAGCCTCCCGAATGGCCTCCGTTTAGAAAAATAGAGGTTACATTCTGAAGGACTGATGAGCTAACGGCTGGTCTCAGAGCAGTGGATACCAAAGTAAAGTCCCTTTGCTGCCTTAAAACAGCTCCAATCCTCACAATTATACCGGCATTGCATGCTTTCCTGCATAGGTGTTGCATATTTATGCTGCAGGAACATTTATAAAACCTTGGAGATTAAAGGTGCTTTTTTGTAAAACTGGCATCCTGTGGTCAAATTTGACTATGGCTGTCAATTTGTAAAGAAAAAATATGTCTCTCTTACTCCCGCTCCGTGAGTTTCGCGGCTGTTGCCAGTTACTGATCGGTGCCAGACGATTCTACGCAAGACAACATAAATTTTTATAGAACATTTAATCTAAATCTAATTATTAAGGGACTTTTTAATGGAAGAAAAATTCTTCAAAATGTTCATTTTGATTTACTCATTCAGTGTTACAGTGGGTACGGAAAGTATTCAGGCCCCAACAATTTTTATTTTGTTACATTGTATTTGTTACATTGCAAACATTTGCTAAAATCAATTAAATTCATTTTTCCTCATTAACTCATTCACTGCCATTAACAACTAAAGTCGTCATTAGCATTTTTTTACTGTTTGGGCATCGGAACGAGCCCCAGCGCTGAGAGAACAAACATCTCAGCTCTGAAGCCGATCTTCATCCGCATACGTCACACGTCACATGATCAGGAAGCAGAACATCTATGTGTTAGGACAGCGGTTCCCAAACTTATTTAGCCGCCCACCCCCTTCTATGTCCCGACCATGTCGACTGAGGTCCTGGGTACTCTGAAGAAGGTTCTTGTTCAGGATATCCCTGTACTTGGCCACAATCATCGTTCCCTCGATTGCAACCAGTCGTCCTGTCCCTGCAGCTGAAAAACACCCCCGCAGCATGATGCTGCCACTGCCATGCTTCACTGTGGGGACTGTATTAGACAAGTGAAGAGCAGTGCCTGGTTTTCTCCACACATACCGCTTAGAATTAAGGCCAAAAAGTTCTATCTTGTCTCATCAGACCAGAGAATCTTACTTCTCAACATCTCTGGGTCCTTCGGGTGTCTTTTAGCTAACTCCATGCTGGCTTTCATGAGTCTTGCACTGAGGAGAGGCTTCCAACGGGCCACTCTGCCATAAAGTCCTGACTGGTGGAGGGCTGCAGTGATGGTTGACTTTCTACAGCTTTCTCCCATCTCCTGACTGCATCTCTGGAGCTCAGCCACAGTGATCTTTGGGTTCTTCTTTACCTCTCTCACTAAGGCTCTTCTCCCTCTGTAGCTCAGTTTGGCCGGACAGCCTGCTCTAGGAAGGGTTCTGGTCATCCCAAACGTCTTCCATGTAAGGATTATGGAGGCCACTGTTCTCTTAGGAACCTTTAGTGCATCAGAGATGTTTTATAACCTTGACCAGATCTGTGCTTTGCCACAATTCTGTCTCTGAGCTCTTCAGGCAGTTCCTTTGACCTCATGATTCTCATTTGCTCTGACATTGTGAGCCGTAAGGTCTTATATTTGTGTGTGTCTTTCCTAATCAAGTCCAATCAGTATAATCACACACAGCTGGACTCCAATGAAGTTGTAGGACCATCTCAAGGATGATCAGAAGAAATGGAAAGCACCTGAATTAAATATGAGAGACGCAGCAGAGGGTCTGAATACTTGGGATCATGTGATATTTCAGTTTGTCTTTAATAAATCTGTATAATGTCTAAAATTCTGTGTTTTTCTGTCATTATGGGGTGCTGTGTGTACATTAATGAGGAAAAAAATTAATTGAATTGAATTTAGCAAATGGCTGAAAAATAGAGTGAAAAATTGACGGGGTTCTGAATACTTTCCGTACTCGCTGTAAATGATAAAGGTTGGGGATAAGCGCACTGCAAAAACTTTGAGTTATCATTATTACGAATATTCAATCTGAAGCAAATATGTAGTAATTATTTAGGCGTGGCTGAGCTACAGTGTAAAGTCTACAAAGATAAATGACAAACAGAGAAGTGTTGCTAGCTTTTGGACAGCAATTTATATCTGATGCTTATGAAAATAAACATTTTAACTTGTGCTTTATGGATCCTAACAGTGCTCTAATATGATTAAATATTGTGATTGTCGTGGTCTCTTCAGGATCCAGAATATGATGTAAACTTTAGTGGTTACTAAGGCACAAGATGTGGCAGAGAAGGGGGAAAAGATGCCTGTCCTGATAGGTGAGTGAATGCAAAGGAAGGACCGTCTGTTAAACAACTTCAGAAGGCCATGTGACCACTTTCACCACCACACTAAATGTGCACCACATGCCCTAGTTGATGTGCAACCCAATTTTGGAAAAGTGCCCCAGAGTATTATCTTCTGGGAGAAAATGATGGTGATTATTATAAATGGTTCCCATCCAGGATGAGCGTTCAGATCTTGTTTTCTTCTCCTGCCTACTGAGAGCAGTTACAGAGGGGCTGGGGCAGGAGGGGCCCCTGCGTGTACAGCCATTAGCCTTCTTCTTGACCCTGCACCTGCTATGCACCACATGACGTGTGATGCACATGTGCTATAGTGCAACGCGCTGTTCACAGACATGCTTTCTGTCATCTAAGGGATGTAGCTGAAACTTTTATAAGTGCAGTCGGCATACATTTATTGTGAATAGAGTACTAAATTAATCATCATAATTTATAATATAAAGCTGTCGTAGAATGAGGTCTATAAAGGAGGAAATGAGTGCCCCTGGGAGTGTCAGTTGAGGGCTTCCAGGGGAGCCTATCTCATCACCCTTTTGGGGGAGCCACACTCCCCCTAGCTCCCCCATAGTTTGAACCCTGGTTGGAACATGTCGACGTAAGGGTGTGTAGCTTTCTTGATACATAATACCATTTCTCCCTCGCCTTTAAAGATTACAAATTTACATAGAACGCAGGTCAGAAACAGCTGATGTGCTTCATTTGACCATCTGAGTTGTCTTTATTCAACAAAAACAAGGCCAATGTGGGTTTAGATGCTTCTGCTGCTTTAACTAATACTGATCAAAAGCTTTGAACAAAAAGTATAAGTTTGTTTTTTAGGAGGAGTAAACAATACTTTGAAAACTTGGTAAGCCAATCAGGAACCAGACTACCACGCCCACTCCTAGTACCTGAACACACTGGTGTCCTGTTGTGCACAGAGGAGCCACTCACTGGCTTGCCATCGTTGGTGACACACCAGCAATAACCCGTCAGAGTATGGCACTGAACCTGCATGGATAAAAGATAGTTATACAGAGGTACGCTAACATTTATTTGAATTTAACTTCACACAAAAAAGGGGAATGAATAAAAATCCTGCTCTGGGATGGTACAAAAGGCTGACTGAAAGAGAAAAACGAGGCGTGATAAGTGACCTGCACTTGTATAGCAGCTTTCAGAGTCACAGGACTCCATAGAGCCTTACACGGTGAATCATTCATCTATTCACACACACATTCGTACACTGATGGTGATGAGCTACAATGTAGCCACAGCTGCCCTGGGGCACACTTACAGAGGTGAGGCTGCCAAGCACAGGCACCACCCGTCCCTCCGAGTCCGCCCACCACCAGCAGGCAACAAGTGTCTCTGCCGGGAGCCAGGATTGATCCTACAACCCTCCGATTGCTGGACAACCTGATTTACCTCTGAGTTACTGTTGCCCCATCAGAGATTTAAAAGGAAGGCCCTGATGCGTACCTGGGCATATGTTCCATCCTCGTTGCATTCTGGGATAAAAATGGCCTCCTGAGGCCTCCGTGACAGCTCCAGAGCGGCGTTCCTCTCCAAACGGCACTTGGACTGACTCGCATCTGTAACATATTGACAAGGCAGTCTGCTCAATACAACCGCTGTTGTTCTCTAGTGCAGAAGACATGTGTTCTTGGTCAATAACACTGTTCACACCAGCCAGCTGTGGTGTACGTCTAGCCTCCGGTGACGTGATGCTCAGTGGCATATTTTTATAAAATTTTAACTCTGGCCTTCCTCTTTGAAAAGTGCTTTTATACAATAAGAAAACAATAAAAATGCAGATAGTTCAAAGTCTGCACAACAGAGGCTTGGCGTTGCAGGACCTCGTCTTCATCGCTGACTGCTACCAGATGTCGGATGTGAGCACAACATTGTTAGCTCAGAGGAATGCGTCATATACCTTGTGATTTTATTTTAAAAGTGTGGAAAACGAGATCGTGTTCTTGCACCTACGATGAGTCACTCTTGCTCCCAGGCGGGATGGAAATGAAAGTAGCATTAAAGGTTGGAGAAGCCATTCATAATGGTACTGTTTTTATTGCACTCACAGCTTATGTGGGGTTGAACTTCATGCTTAAATGTTCTTGTAAACATTTTCACAACAGGGAGCCGACCAGAGTGGCCGCAGCCCTCCACTTCTGGCAAATGCTCCCCCTGGATAAATAAAAGTTTAAAAAAGGCGTGTGTGGACCTGAGAGGAGACAGACATGTTGTCTCCTCTGCAGTAAAATGAATACAGAATTAAAAAGGGGTGGTTATGTCATAGAGGAGGTCATTTGAATTTATAAACACAGACTATGATTATATTTGGCATTGCTGGAAGAAAAAGCTGCTCGCTCTTTTGGACTGAACTTAGCACAGCTCCCTTCATGTAAAAAAGTGCAGATTTAAACTATTGAACTACTTCTTTGGGCTGTGTCGTCTCATAAAGGCATCATTGTTTTCCCATCAGAAAAGTCCCATCTGATTTTTGCAAGGATCATTTCAGCTTTCATGGGTTTCCCCTGAAAATAAAACCAAGTCTGCTAATAAGGAGGGAAGTATAATAGACCTGGTGTCTGTTTTCCCATGAGACAAGGGGTCAAATATGGAGTTCAACTGTCATGCTCCAGCATCGACTCCTGATCTACCAATCTGTGTCGTTGCAGAGGAAGTGTGTGATCACGGTCTGTGACAACTTACACACCTACAGAGAGGCAGAAAATAAGACATCGTCCCATTCGATTCCACTTTCCAGTTTTGTTCTTTTCAGAGCTGTAAATGCATTTTAATCCACCATATATAGTGTCATGGGTAAGATGAAGGTACGAGCAACGCCCCTTTTTCCCCAGTAAATTTGACTGGCTTCACTATTTGGGGTTCTCACTCCCTACCTTTAGATTCGACATCCCTCCCTTCGAGGCTGGACGTTGGAGCTGGAGCCACCGGATGCTGGAAGCTTTTAGCTGGAAGACAAAAAGCTTTATGTACTGTACACACGTCCATTTATCTTATTTCATAGAACTGAATTAATTTCTCTTAACTGAAGTGAAAGAAAGTTGATTTACCAGCATGCAGTGTTGAGTTCGTGTTCTACAGAAGCTAACATTTAGCCTAGAAGTCTAGACAGAAAGTAGCAGAACCTAAACGATTTTGCTCTGCAGGTCGGACTAGCCACGTTCCACTGTAGCCTCAGCAGGTCTACCATTGGCCTGAGCAGTATTGTGTCGTGCCAATCACACCGCTCCATCAGTTTGGTGGGCAGGAAGTTGCGACAAAGCGAAACAACAAAGATGGAAGCAACTCAATTGAAACAGCCTTGGCATCAACTTTGGACTATTTAGACTTCTTTGAGTCAAGAGCAGATAGAGGTATTTGGGTTTATTTAGAAAAAAATGTTTTTGCGTGTTTTTCAACAGTTTGCGGTGGACTGCCCCGTTGACTGATGTCAGTAGCGTTGAGTATGTCACATTGTTCGTTGTCCAATAGCATGTTTGAAGGATAACTGTAGATCCTGCCCCATGACTGAGTTCTGTCTATCGGTCGTGGCCAGACTATATGTTCCTATATGATGATATAGGATGGCTTGCCAGGCTAGCTAACCTTCCCTCCAGCCTTTATTCTTATCATATGGGTCTAAATTAGTTTCATCACTTTGAAGAGTGTTTTTCCATCGGTCTGCAAAGGGAGTTGTTTCATGTTTGATGCCCTTGTTCAGTGGCAACGTGAAGATCCAGAGTTTGGGTTTCTCACCTCGACACCTGCCTCTGTGTGCCAGTGTTAGAGTCTTATCTCTGCAGCGTGCCTTCTGAAGTTCGCAGCCCGTCTCATAGCTCCGCCCATCGGAACCGCACACCGACTTGCCAAGAGTCCGTGAGCAGCTGATCCCACAGTGACTGTCTCTGTCTCCAATCAGCCACTGAAATGAAAAACCATCAAAAGAAACCAGTTGCAGTAAAACACACCTCAAATATCTAAGGGTGGTCATGTTTCAGGAATAAAACTTTTTTCATTTGTTCAAGTTTTCTGGTGTTTGAGTAAAGTCTGCGTTCAGTTCCGTCTGAGAACGTGCCTTAGCACGTCAGCATTCCTTTGTTTTGGCTTCTCTAAAAACAATGTGAGCTTCTCTGAGCTGAAGCTAAAGCCTGAAGGTTCATTTCTGGAGCTCATCTTTGAAGGCAGAATCAACCCTGATTGGGTTTCAAAGGAGCCACACATATTCTTCTCCTTCTCCTCCTCCTCCTCCTCTCCTGATGTCTCAGGAGGGAGTCAGCGTTCTCTCTGCCTTAACCCTCTCTGGCTCAAAATAAGTTTTGATAAAAGGACGAACAACTAAGTCCTTCAGGGGTACTTCTGAGTTAAAAAATGCTCATGAAATGCATATGTGGAGTAACCAGGTAGGTAGGATTTAACTGTTGCAAATCTGCAACGCCTGCCTCCAGAGGGTTAAATATCTTCAAGCTCTAAAGGATTTTGGGAAACATTGCTAGATAGATGAGAGCTTTGAGTTGTTGAGGAGGGTGTCCATGCATCGATCTGCACCTGAACGCCCAGCAACAAAAAGCTGTTCATCGGGGGTGTTTGGATTACTAATTGACACCTGATCGGTCTAATTTCACCATCCTGCTGCAGAAAAACTAAACGACACAACTCTTTAGGTGGAAATGATTGCATGTGAAACGTTTCCTAAACACAGCATCTCTAAGGCTGTAGCGGCACCAGAGCTGCTGTTGAATCAGACATGAGAGTTCTTGCAAAGAGAAGGTTCTGAGGTAAGAAGGTGGAAAATCTCACTCAACCATTCTCCTATCAGGCCATTCTCAAAGTCATCTACAGCGTGTTGAGCTAACAGTTCTTCCCTCAGATCAGTCTTCCTTGTTGCCCAAATTCAATACAAACAAAAACGAAGTTCTGTTTTGGGAAAACAGTGAAAATGTTGCTTAGGGACGGATTTTCATGTAACGAGACAGTTTAGATCAAATCAGAAACTGGAGCTGGTGCACAACAGGATCTTATAAACAAATGAATCATCAGAAATGATCTAATCATTTCTGTATGTTAGGGTTGGTGTCAAAACCAAGAGAACTTTATTTGATTCTGTTTGGTTGTTGGCTTTTGACTTTTTCATTCAACTATAAAAATCTAAGTCTGACACGAGTCTGCTGAAATAAGCCATGTTTTAATGGTTACATGAAGATTAAAGACTCTTTATAATCTCATATTGCTGGGATGAGGATCAGTATCTTCAAACCTGTGGCCATGGTTCTCGATCGGAAAAGAAGGAATGGCCAATCCGGGGAGAGGTTCCACCTCAAGGGGAGGAATTTAAGTATCTCGGGCTCTTGTTTACGAATGATGGGCGGTTGGAGACAACATCTACAGTGATGCAATTATGACAAATAATGCCATGATGGACTGTGGGAATGTTTTTGATTACTCATAAAAAATCATTTGGACTCTCAGACCCACAATCATAGGTGAAAGACAGGATCTCCAATCAATAAGTTCATTAACTCCCAATGTTCATTCCAACAGACATCTTGCTTTTTTATTTATTCTTCTGAAATCACGATGCAAGGAAGCCAACATTATTAACTCATTCACTGTCATTGACGACTAAAGTTGTCAGCTGCATTTTTCAACGCTGCGGGCCTGAGAAAGAGTTAACGCCACGGCTCTAAAGTTGATTTCCATCCGTGTGTCACGCTTCACATGATCAGGAAGCAGACAATCCATGCATTAGGAGATCGGTTTGGGAGGCTGCTAGCGAGGCGATAATCGTAAAAACCGTCTGCAGCTCACCAACAACGGATTGTGAAGGAACAGAAAAAGCTAGAAACAAGCCGATTCTTCTTGATGTAAGAAGTGAGTCTACTTTTTCTTTTGGTAGTTTTGGTGTTCATGGTCATGGATCCCAATATTCTGTGACTCTTCAAAAAAAATGGTAAAAATGCTCAAAAACATTGGCAGTCAGGGGCTTTCTGATCAGATAACGGCTGGCAGTGAAAGAGTTAAAGTGACCTTTAAACGAGGAAGTTCAGGAGCAGACTTTAGACCTTTTCCATTTATTAAATGTCAGGTTGCATGAAAAAAATAACTCAAATATGCTTCAGAAAGAGTTTAAAATATATTTAAAACACACAGGAATTCCTCTGAAGCAACTCATTTTCTCCACAGTGACCTCTCTCTTTTATTTTTATTTTTTTGCCTTGTTCTGGCTATTACTATGTTTGCTGACCTGGGAACTTCACAAGAATTAAAGCTAATAAAACCAACGTGAGGTTTGAGAAGTAAGGATCAACACCTAATCTGTAATAATAAAAAGTTCTACAAGATATTTTTTTTCTACTTTTGAGTTGTCAAACGGTTTCAGCCGACACCAACAATAAAAAACATTCATTGTCTGATTCCCATCACTGATCACTGGTGTCATGAGAGACCCTTCAGAGCTTCCTGGTAATTTTGCCGGACCGTCACATCCCCGTGTCTCCGGACCATTTCAGGAATCAACAAAGTACCTGGATGGGATAGAGTCACTGGGCGGGTCTTTTGGTTAACTTGTGCTAATGAGGTGTTACTCAGTAGGAAATGACATCAGCAGATACCGCCAAACCACTGACATTTGTAAAACTGGAAGAGTTACTGATGACACAACAAAAAAAGTTTGCGCTGCATTAAAATTGCCGTTTCTGAACCCCCTACGCTGTAAAATGCTGTGGAAATCCTCCCATAACACAGTCATTTGAACCGCTTTGTGGTCTCACAGAGCACCGTAAAAAAACTCTGCTTCTTCTGGTCATTGAACATCACATTTTACACCACACAGCCACTGTCCCAGTCCCCTAGTCCCTCAAATGGATGAAATTATGCCGTTTTTGGGCATTTGGCACTGATCAGTGACATCACTCACTGCCAAACATTTATAGTGGGAACACGGCTATAATTTATAATTTGTTAGTTTCAACAACCATCCGTAAAATTGTATAAAAGTGTTAACAGAGAAAGTCTCGGGTACAAAGTCTGGAGGTTGTAATGTCAAAGAGTCGACATGGAATGTGTTCTTTCTGAAACAGTAGATGCTTCATCTTCCAGATATCATCAGAAGGAAGCGGCATGTTTAGAGGTTCTAGAAGGTTCTGTGCAGCAATAAATCATTCATAAAACAAGGAATATGCAAAATATTACTTCTTAAAATATCATCTGAACACAGGGACTCCTCCGTTTCAAACCTAAATTGATACGTATAAACTTGTGCAAGCAGGTGAAAGGAAAGTTAAACAAAAGAAGAGTAATACTGGTCTAAAACCCAGCTCCCTTTGCCATAACAGTGTGTTTGGAACGAGCCAGACAGTTAGTCTTGCCTTGGCACCGGAGCATGAAGGAAAAGCTCTCGTCAAACAGCTCTGAAACTAAATTATGCTGCATGGTGAGTAAGTCCAGACAGGGAGAAAATAAAGCTCGTCGTTGTATTTTAACTTGCACGTCTTCCTCTTGGTTTTTAGCGAAGGAAAAAAGCAAAAATAATAATCCAGTTAGAGAAAAAGAAAGGCTGTTTCTGCAATATTTCAAGTTTTACAACATGTGGCAACTTTTTTTATTCGTTTTTCTTTTTAATAAATTAAATTATATATTTCTATGTGAAAAATAAAGAAAAAAGATCATTTCTCAGCAGAGAAGACCATTTTTTAGCCGTTTATTCCTAAACAACCAAAACTGAATCTATGAGAACGATAAGCTAACACTGCCATGACTAAAATTGAAGCAACTTTTTTTTTCTTTTAGAAACCATTACACCACCATCCTTTTCTCCATGACGCAGTCATCAATGAGAAAATGAGGCAGACAGCCATCCACGCACGAACATACCACAGGTCAATTTGGCCAAATTATTTAGTCAAAATGCTATCAAAGGTGTGGATCACCTGAAAAACCATTTTCTAATTATTATAATCAGTCATTCATGCAAGCTGAACATGAAAATAGTCTCCTACACTCATCTCCTGCATCAGCTTCTGATAGAATAGATGGTGAAACTCAAGGATTAGAAAAGCCTGAGAGGTCTACGTCACACTGTCGCTTTATATTCATGGACTCACCCATCTTGACTCATGACGGGGAAGGCTGTCCAGAAAACAGCAGAGAACTTCTCGTTTAGCAGAAGCTAACCGTTAGCATTAGCAACTCCACCACACAGCAGAAGCTCCTTCAGACTTGTGTTATTTGTGGAGATGAAACATCAACGTTGCAGAGCAGAGTCACTGGTAGAGTCATGTTGCTTTTAGCCAATCAGAGGCAAGATGTCCAAATATGAGGAAATAAGACTCCAAATTCTGTCGTGTTCTGTCACTCTCTCCAACTGACTCCTCCGCGCTGATACAAGCACTCCTGGGCTCCAGGTGTTGTTAATCAAGTGTTCAACACCTTTGAATAAAAAGAAACTGGAGTAACCTGGAAAAAAAAACACGCCAACACCGCTCCACCACGTAGTTTGTATATACCAGGGGCCGAGGGCCACTTATATTACTATGATGTTGAGGGCCGGTCCTGGGGGGGACCAGCCAGACCCGGCCTGCGAGCCACCTGTTGAGTACCTCTGGTATGTACGGTCAAATATAAACAATTGTGTCAAATTCAGAAACCCTCGGAGACGACCTTCTTCCCACAGACCTACTGTCCTCCTCGTTCCTGACTCACTAACTTAATGGATGCAAGCCGTGTGCCTCCACTGTCATAGTAAAACTTTAAGTCACTTTCTGAGATAACACTGTCTGGAAACAAACCCTTTGACCAAGTCCCCCCCCCCCCCCCCCCCCCCACATCTGAGTCACACAGTCCCACCCACATTCTCCGCGACCGTAAAGGTGAAACCAGAGACGCCAGCAGATCACAAAGCATTCTCATTTCATGGTTGGGATCTTT